CAGGACACCGGAATCAAATACAGTGACAACAGGGGTTATACCATGGGGGAAGTACTTTGCAAAGTGCAGTGCGAGGGGGGGAGAAGGGAGAAGTTGGGGAAGTGGGGAGAAAAGGGAAGGTAGGGGAAAAACAAAGGAGGTGGTAACAATGCTCAATAGGAATGGGCTCATTACCTTGCTCATGTAACTGTAACCCCTCTGTATAGTACCTTTTATACATATACATATATATACATATATATATATATATATATAAATCTACAGTGCTGGTTCATAATAGTGTGACTACAAATAACAATTGTGTACTGTGTAAAAGAAAGAATTGTTGTTTTCTGCATAAAGATATGATAAATATTGGAGGAGATATGTATGTTTAACCTGAGTTAAACATTATTCCATCAATACACATATCGAAATGTCACATTAGCTCATTAGTATGTACAAAGTTTTATATTTATCAATTCAAATTAAAAATGAAGCTGGCGGTTGGTGGCTCATGCCTGTAATCCTTAGCTATTTAGGAGGCTGAGATCTGAGATTGCAGTTTGAAGCCAGCCTGAGCAGTTTATCTCCAATAAACTACTCAGAAAATAACCTGAAGTGTTACTGTGATTCAAGTGGTAAAGTGCTAGCCTTGAGCATAAAAAGGCACAATAACAGTGCCCAGGCCCTGAAAAAAAAAAAAGAATAAAAATGAACAAAACAAATTAACAAAAGCAATGACAAAGTAAGTCACTAGCATTAAGGCCTATCTCAAGCTTAGGAAAACTTTTTATTAGCATAGATTCAAAGTGTAAGGGGAGAGTTTATTGTTAAGGAAATGTTTAGTAATTAGTGTCTTCCAAATGTTGCTCAAATTAGTTGCTTCAGAATTACCTGGCTGTGTATTAAGAACAATTTCTCACAACTACTGACCTACAAAGTCAGAAGCTCCAGGGTGAAGTTTGTGTACAAGTTCAATCTGTCTTGCTGGCATTCCTATTCTGATGGTAGAGAAAGATAAATAAACAACTTAATAATCATGGAGTTATTGCTAAGTGATCAAAAGAAACGGAAAGCAGGATAAGGAATGAGCAATGATGGGCTTGTGCCGGGTGGCCCACTCCAAGGACACAACTTTCAGAAGGAAACCTGCAGATGTAGAGTGAGCTACATGGACTCTATCTGTGGAAGTACGTTCCATTGACATCAGGGGGAAAGTGCCTAGCAGAGGGAGCAAGTGGGAAGACTTTGAGAGGGGACAAGCTGGAGAGCTTGAGGAGCTGTTTATGGTTTGTGTCTGTGTAGAAGAAAGACAGTGGTAAGCATGGAGGCAAGCTACACTGCATGCGAATTTTGCATGGCCTCACAGGCCACGGAAACCTTTTTGCTGCCTTTTAAGTAGAGCATGTAGCCAAAGATAAGGCTCTGAGGGAGGTGGTAGAGCCTCATTTATTCTTCTGTTTATTGGAGGCTTAAGCCAATCGGACTGAAGGGTTGATGCGCACAGTGGTGGGCCGGAAGCAGGAAGCCTGACTCTCAAGCTTTCCAAATCAGTTCGGCTCATTATTCATTCACTGGGAGCTCTGCACTTTCTTCAGGAAAGGCTTTGGGAGACGCAAGACAAGAATGAATGCAAACAAAGGAAAATGTAAAAATGAGAACATTCCTGTCAGAGGTGACCCCACAAGCAGAGGCACAGACGGATGCAGGAACCCCCATGGTGTGCCTGGGAAGAATTATACCTCTTAATTTTGCTGAAACAGAGGAAACAAGGTAATGATGTTTGCTTTTCCAGAATGAAGGAGAGTTTCATATTTATAGCTTTTTCTTAAGCGATTGAGGATGGCTTGACTTTCTTCTTGTGTGCAAAAAAAGTAAATAAACCATCGATTCTCTGCTTACTTAAAAATGAGGTCAATATTGTTTGTATTTCCAGTTAAACTTGTTGCAAACTCTTGTTTTAGATCGCGAGCATTGCTATTTTAAAACCTGTCTTCTGAAGGTGTGATGAAGGATTGAGAGTCTGCAAAGAGCCAATGGCAGCATTTTACAATTCCACTTATTACAATTGTGCATTTTGCTGACAAAGTCACAGACAGTATAATTAATGCAAGTGCAAACCACCACTTTAACGGAAAGCAAAACATTCTTTTTGCTCTATTAGCAAAAACTTTGAAAATATTAGTCAAGTACTTTCTACTGTTTTACTATTTAGTATGATGTTTTCTATGATGAAGGTATCATAATCATCATTGTTTTGTGGAATTAACTTGAATGCAAAGAACACACCTTTAAATTTATACTGAAAACACACATACAAAAGTACACATAAATATATACATATATGCATATATTATATACATACATAGTATATACACATACATACACACACATAAAATGTATTTATGTATTTATGTCAGTTGTAGCTGCTATTACTCATAGTTCCAGAGACTAGGACATCCAAGATCAAGAGCAAGCTTGATCAGAGTCTGGGGCCTTCTACCTGTCATCCCATGATAGAAGGACAAATACTTTCAGCCTCTTTTCTGAGAGCACTAATTCTATTCATGAGGACCTAGCTATATCTACTTTATCACATCCCCTCAAATACACATCTGGCTACTGGGAAGAAGTATATGAAAAAGGATGAAGTTCATCCACACTTCTACTTCCCCTGCTGGTCTATTTGACCCTGTGTACTTGTAGAACCTAAAGCACTAGGCCACATAATGTAGTTGGCCATCTTTGGGCTGCTCCATTAATGTGTTATTAATTAGCGGTTGTTTGTATAGTGATTCCTAACTGCCTTAGTCCAAGTCAAGGCATTTTACCAGTGCTAGGGCCCTGGACAAGTAATTTGACTTTTTTGAGCTCAGTCTCCTCATCTGTACGTGTGGCAACATGACAACAGCTTCTCATAGACTAGTGGGAATTAAATGACATGATGTATAGATAGTATCTCTTGGCACGTAATTGCCTAATAATTGATTGCTGTCATCATTGTTACTGCATTTTTAATATAACTATCAGCATAGGCAGAAAGCATAATTCAGAAAGATTTCTTCTGTGACTCCTGGAAAATTTATTGAAAATGATGGCAGCCATATTTTTCACAATGCAATCTCATTTTGCATTTGCTGGGCTTTTAAATTTCTAATGCTTTAACCTTTTTCTTATACAGTTTCTATTTCTGTGCAAGTTTGTAGATCTAGCCTTCATTGCAGGTATTAGTGATGATGATTTTTGTTGTTCTTAGTAATCATTTAAATTTGGAAATCACAAAAGGTAAAATAGCTGTCTCAGGCTGACTTCATTTAAGTGACTTTCTATCATGACTACAATGGAAATAAACTGTCAAAAGAATGTTCTGTCTATCTATTTATACTTATCATTATGGACCAACTCAGTGTTTTTGTTGTTTTTTCTGTATAGAGAAAAAAATAGCATATTTTCTTCACATTTCACATTCTCATAAGTTTTTAGAAACTAAAGTCCCTAAGCTCATTCACCTAACTATTCATTTATCTAATTACTAGTCTATTTGTGAGAGTATGAAAGATTTTCTTGGGAATCTATTAATCTATTCTGCTTTCCTGTGACAGAAATGTGCATAGTGAACATACATTGTACTCAATGTACAATAATGAACATAAATTGTACTCAATTGCTTTATCTCAGTTAACCCTTACAAAGCCTATGAGGTGGTTATTAGTTGTGATCATTTATTTTTATTTATTTCAAAATTTAAAATTCCATTGTCTTGTTTATTTCTATAATGATTGCACCGAGGGCATTAAGGAGCAGGGAGACACAGGTATTTATACAGCTTTCATCCAGGCCATCTGACAGCAAAGCCTCTACTCCTCGTTACTTTCTTGTGTTATTCTAGCTCTAAAATAAGATTCTGTGTTGCTAACTCATTTCAGTGTTCTTCTTTATCTGGATTTTAAAATGTTTAGGTCAAAAAATTTTATAATTTGGGGGAACAGCTGTAAACTTATTTTTTTTTGTGGCATGGCTGAAAGCACTTTACAAGCAAAAAATCAAGTTCTTTATTCTTTCCCTGGAAGAACAGACTAAGTAGCTCTTTGCAAAGCAATGAAGGAAGAAATGTATTATCTCCCAACTGGTTGAAATGCATGCCACTAGCAGAAATAAGGTTCATAATCTAACTCATCCTCTCTCAGCAGTAAAATGTTCTTGTGCCTTCATTAAGGAAGCGAGAACATGAGAGTTCAATAAGAGTCAACGTTTGTCCTGTTATGAAGTATCTTAATGGATTTTCACACCTGATTTACAACTGCAGATGTAATCAGCAAGAATGGAAAGAGTCTGGGAAAAGAGCTCTTATAGAGCTCAAGAAAGCAAGACTCCAGATATTTTAGTTAGGTTTAGAAGAACAAGTCGATTCTTTCCATCATTTCCACCAGGAATATTAATCAATATGATCAATGTGACTACTTAAGAAATGATGTTTGGACACACCATTGGAGAGAGAGACAGAGAATATTCTATGTTCATTAACTTCTGCTCTCAGAAGCAGTGTCTGTTGCACCAGACAGACTATGTACTCCTGGTAACCATAGCATTGTGTTTCAAGGCCTATGGTAGCTGTTCAACAAACACAAATGATGTAAAATTAATTCCCTAAAGTGACTGTTCTAGAAATGATGCCTCCAATTATTTCCTGTTGTTGGAAAACCACATTTCCAATTCATTTTTCTTCTAAATTGCTAGTTATTAGTAATTCTGTTTAATTAAATAAAATTCATTCATGTCACTACTTTTACTTGAAGAAATTCAGCAAATAATAATAATGATAATGATAATAATAATAATAATTGCTATATTTTGTTCCAGGGCAGGACCTGTAACTGAGAATCCTTTTGGATTTATCATGTCAACATTTTGAAGGTGTTCACTGTCTTACGTGTCTTCGGGATCTTGCTATTTAAGAACTGCAGAGACCTCAGACTATGAAATCAGACATGGAAACATGAGAGTCAGAGCAACTGGGCCTCATCAAAATTTAGATGTACGTCATCATTCACCACTCATCTCTTTCCTGAGGCTGCTTTGCCCTACCAAGACCTTTGCTGTGTTCTACAAGTATACCACCTTCCTATTTGTATTCTCCCATAACCTTACCTTTTGAGTTTCCATTGTAGCAGAATTATGTCATGTGTTGGTCCCTGATCACTTTTGAGCAGACACCTTATGTTTGAGGAGGTTCTCACATGGAAAGTCCTACCCCCATGCACTAGAAGACAGAGCTAAATTTCCTGATCTGCAACTGAGGTGCAGCCTGACTGTTGTATTCAAGAACCAGGAGCTGTTGCTATAAAGGATCTGTATTTTCCTGAGAGAAGCAACATGAAGGGAGTCTGGGGCATTCTGAGGCTATGCTATCTAGCTGACTCCTGACTAGTGAGAATGCAGATATTCAGTGTCCACTGTCACCCAAAGGGCCCCTATTGAGGATGCACTTTGGGGAATTTTTTGTATGTGAACATATAAACCCACTGATGCTAATACTTAATAAACTTTTTTTCTACTTTTTTCCACTTATGTGGACTATGTAGCTTATAAGTAAGATCTTGGATGATTACTGATTTAAACTTCAGAACTATAATTTTCAATAAGCTTAGCAATTAAGAGCATCCAATTCAATGAGTCATATCAAAGAGTGACATGAGCATCCAAACAGGTTTATTCTCTGACTGTCAGCAAAGAAACTGGGTGAGTGTGAGAAGTGAGAGGAAATGTAGCTGGGAGCTTGACAATTTAGGACTTGCGTTGTAACGCTGTTGGATATGAGATCTAGCTTTATGACTTACTGACTGATGTTGGTCCAATCACTTAATCATCTGGGTTTTCATTGTGTGATTGTAAATAAGGAAAACAACATTATGTTTTACTTGGCATTTGTATAGTGCTCAGAAATTGTGAACTATTCATGAATAGACATCCACTTTGATATTTGGGATTTGTTAGTAAGGCACTTAATTGGCTTATCATCCAGGAATTTTAATGAAAACAATATGATTAAGATAATCATTAGTTCCTTATGTCATGCTAGCTGGCTTAGTCCAGATAGAATAGCTGATTAAACAAACTACCTTAAAATTTCAGAGGCTTAACAAATTTGCAGCTTATTTAATACTTAGACAACAGCCTACCCACTGTTGATCATCTCTCATCTGTATGCAACTAGATCTTTTTGCTTTCCTCTAGGTTTTGTAGAGCTATCTCCAATTTCCAAACGATGGGGAACAAAAGAATTGACGATTGAGTGTAGGAAGGGACTAAAGGCAGGCCGACAAGTGGCATGTGTCACAGCACACATTTTACTGACTATACCTGAGACACATTTTGCCATCGAAACATGTCATGAGATTCTTAGTATGTTTCAGTTGGACAATTAGTGTGAATCCCAGCCCAAAGATGGGTACTAGAAGAGCCATCAAATTGTTCTTAGTTCTTATTCTCATTCTGAATGAGGGTAATAAGTTAATGACTGGATGTGGTTACAAAAGATAATCCCTGGCCCGGCACTGGTGGCTCACGCCTGTAATCCTAGCTACTCAGGAGGCTGAGATCTGAGAATCTCGGTTCAAAGCCAGTCCGGGCAGGAGAGACTGTGAGACTCCTATCTCCAATAAACCACCAGAAAACCGGAAGTGGCGCTGTAGCACAAGTGGTAGAGCACTCGCCTTGAGCTGAAGAGCTGAGGGACAGCGCCCAGGCCCAGAGTTCAAGCCCCACGGCCGCCAAAAAAAAAAAAAAAAAGATAATCCCTGCTTTAAAATGAAGAAAAGAAGAACTGGTTGTTTAAACATGAAAATACTACAGAAATGTAAATCCTCACATTTGGAAGTTTAAACTCCACTATTTAGAGAAGATTGCTTGATTAGATTAACAGAGACCAAATGACTTTAAAAAGAATCTACTTCAGCTTTCTGGGTTAGGATTATTTTTTGGCCTTATAAATTGTACAGATGTAAGGTTTTAACTAAACAATTTTTTTGACCTCTAACTCTATTAATATGATCTTAAATTTCAGCCTGTAAATTTTTATTCTGGTAAATAAAAAAGTGATGAAAGAAAATAGTTAATCAGAAAGGAATGCCAATGCATGGCTGTTTGACTTTTAGGGAAAAATATTAAATCACATGAAATCAAGTTGTATCTTTTTAGTAAAAGTGTCAAAAACAGACTGTACATTCATTTAAAAGCAAAACAACACAAAGAAATAACCTAAGAACCAATTTATAGTACTTTATTGATCACATATTTTTGTTCTTTGAGTGTTAACATATAAAAGATCATTTATTTTTCTTCCAGTTGTAAGAAATACAAAGGGAGAGCTGGGTGCTGGTGGCCCACACTTTTAATCCTCACTTCTCAAGAAGCTGAGATCCGAGGATTGCAGTTCAAAGCCAGCCTGTTCAGGAAAATCCATGAGATTCTTATCTCCAATTAACCACCAGAAAACTGAGAGTGGTGCTGTGGCTCCAAAGGGAAGAGCTAAGGGACAGCACCCAGGCTCTGACTTCAAGCCTCAGGACTGGCACAAAGAAAATAAAAAAGAAATAAAGAAATACAAAGGCAGTAGTTGCAAAGTCATAATCACATTTATGCTAGGGACATTGTCATGGAAACACCACTGAATATAGTGTTGGTTTTGTTTTGTTGTTTACTGGATCTATTCTCGACCTTAAAATCCTTATTCATTTTTCTAATTTGGGGAGAGGAAGGGAAATAACATAATGCTGAAATAAGGATATAGGTTGACCCATTGTAACTATGAGATGTACAAGACAGTATGTTGAAAATGAACTATACAACTTCGGGGGTGGAGAGAGGAACACATTTGGGGTATGGGGAGGGAAGAGATGGTAGGGGAAGAACGAAGGAGGAGGTAACAATGCTTGATAGGAAATACACTACTCATTATCTTACCATGTAACTGTAATTCCTCTGTACAGTATTTTTGCAATAATAATGTAATATATATACAAAATAATACAAAATATATATACAAAAATAATGCTTATTCAGTACTGAGTAGATTTGTCTACATATCAAGATTTCTGGAATTCCATATCTTAGCTATGGTAAATAAGGCTGCAATAAACATAGTTGTGCTGGTAGCTTTAGTGTGGTCTTGTTTGTAAACATTTGGGTAAATGCCCAAAAGTGGGATTCTGGGTCATAGGGGAACTCTATGTGAAGTCTTTTGAGGAACCTCCATACTGCTTTCCAAAGTGGTTGAACAAGTTTACATTCCCACCAACAATGAAGTAAGGTTCCCTTCTGTCCACATCCCCTCCAGCATCTGTTTTTGTTAGAGTTCTTGATTTTTGCCATTCTAACTGGAGTGAGGTGGTATCTCAATGTTGTTTTGATTTGCATTTCTTTTATGGCTAGGGATGTCGAGCATTTCTTCATGTGTCCATTGGCCATCCTTCTTTCTTCTTCAGAGAAGTTTCTCTTTAAGTGGATCAAGAAAATGTGGTATATATACACAATGGAATTCTATGCCTCCATCAGAAAGAATGACATTGCCCCATTTGTTAGGAAATGGAAAAACTTGGAAAAAATTATATTAAGTGAAGTAAGCCAGGCCCAAAGAAACAAAGGTCCCATGGTTTCCCTTATTTGCAATTTCTAGTATATGTGTCAGTCAAGAGGAAAAGGTCAGATAATGTGATGTAAGAGAATGAACCCTTAGATATGTATTTTAATGTTTTTTTTCTTTCATGCATGTGTTTCTAACACATTTATAAGATTACTTCCTTGTTGCTTTGTATGTCCCTCCCCCACAGTATAACCCCTGCTTTCACTATATTTGATGTCAGTATAACTTGTGGAGGAGATGGGGAAAAACAAGTCGTTTAAGGATACAAGTGGACCTGTTGCAACAATGAGAAGTACAAGTTGTCATGTCCAAAACGAGCTTTACAACGTCGGTGCGGGGGTGGGGGGGTGGGGGGGAAGGATTGGGATTGGGATTGGGAGGGGGGAGGCTGGGAAGGGATGTGAAGGGTAAACAAAGGAGGAGGCTGCAATGCTTGGTAAGAAATGTACGCATTATCCTGCCCATGTAATTGTAACCCCTCTGTACAGTATGTTCACAAATAAAATTAAATTAAAAAAAAAGGAAAAAAGACTTCTGGAAGCCTTTTCTGTCAATTTTCAGAATGGGATATAGCAAGTAATGCTTTATGAGTTTAGGTGATTCTAGGAAAGCATCATAAAAGCAGTGTCTCACTGTGTAGCCTAGGATGGCCTTTAACTTGGAATGTTCCTGCTTCTGCCTCTTGAGCACTGGGATCAAACACATAAATCATGATACCCAGCAAAAATAAAATTTACATACATTTATTTAATGACAATATCTAAAAGGCCAAGGAAAGAAGTTGAGAGGAATAATGACAGAAGATGGGTTAATTCATCAAATAATCTATCCAAAAACGACAAAACTTAACAGAATATCATTTATTTGTTATAATAAATGATAGATTAATTAAATTAAGAAGGCCAAATATAAAATTTTCAAATTCAGTTTAGGTAATTTAAATCATTATTATATGATAAGAATAGTTTTGAAATATTTTGGAAAACATTGGGTTCCTTTATAAATGGTTAAGGAAAAGCTCAAGTCACTTGATTAGCGAGAGCCAGAAGTTCAGGATGGATGGAAGAGTGCTAGGAATGTCGATACTGGCAGCCCTAGCAATTAGGAATTCATGGTTAAGTACAACATATTTAATCCATAGCACACTTCCATCATTCTCCCCAAATGCCTCTCAAGCCCTCCCCTCAATTTTCTTAATTTCACAGGATATGTAAGGAACAAAGATCTTAATGGCAGACCTAAAACTCTGAAATTCCTAGAGAAAGGCATAGAGGAAATACTTAATGATTTGGCACATGGCATTATTTTTCTGGATAAAACCCCAAAAGAAGAGGACTCCAATGCAAGAACTGACAAGTTGGATTATATCAATCTAAAAAGCTTTGCTCAGCAAAGAAAACAATCAGGAAGGTCAAGAAGCAAACTACAGAATGGTTGAAAACATTTGCCAGTTCTTCCTCTGAGGAAAATTTCCAGTATATATAAAAATTCAAAAATCTGCTGGGTGCTGGTGGCTCACACCTATAGTCCTAGCTACACAGGAGGCTGACATCTGAGGAGAGTGGTTTAAAGCCAACCCAGGCAGAAAAGTTTGTAAGACTCTTATCTCCAATTAACTACCAGAAAACTGGAAGTGGTACTGTGGCTCAAGTGGTAGAGCACTCGCCTTGAGCTGAAGATCTGAGGGATGGTGCCCAGGGCCAGAGTTCAAGCCCCACAACTGACAAAAAAAAAAAAATAGATTCAAAAATCTCATCAGTTACATACAGGTAATCCAATTAAAAGTGGGCAGGTAATATGCATAGTACATTTCAAAAGAAAAATATTAACAGCCAATAAAAATACTCAGTATCTTTAGCCACCAAAGACACATACAAAACTGTAGAAGTACATTGTATGTAAACATAAAATAGTTT